TTTTTTTGGTTCCAAGTCTGATGGGACTTGCCATGTCGTTGGGAATTGTCCTTTTCCTGTTTTTGCAAATTTTGAAAAAAACTCTTTTTCTTTTTTTTCAGGGTCCTCTTTGAAAAAAAAAAAGGCTTTCTTGAAAACTTGTTTATAAATTTGAAAGAAAATTTTTTTGGAAAAAAGGCAATAAAACAGGCCTGGGGGAAAAAAAAATTTTTCCTCTATTAAAAAATAAATCTTTCAAACTAAAGGCTTGTCCAAAACCCTTTTGGGGTGGTTGGGGTTTTCCTCTTTTTACCCTTTTCTGGGTTAAAAAAAAAAAAAAAAAAAAAAAAAAACTTTCGTTGTTGGAACCCTTTTTTTTTTTTCCAACATTAAAAAGGTCTTCTTTTCCCCAACAAAATAATTCCCCCAACAAAATTTTTTTTCTCTTGTTTAGGGGGCTTTTGCCTTCTTTTCTTTTCCTTGGATTTTTTTTTCTCTGCCTTCTAATTCTCTGTTGAATGTGTTTTTAATTTAGTTTTGGAGGGTGTTTATCTTTTTCAAAAAATCTTCTTTGGAAAAAAGAAATTTTTCGTTTTTTTTTCTTTTTCTGGTTTTGAAATTCTTTTTTTAAACCCTGTTTTTCTTTTGGAAAGGGAAACTGTTTTCAACTTTTTGTAATTTTGTAAGTTCCCTGGAATTTTTTGATTCTTCATTTTTTTCCAGGGAGTTCGCGTTTTTAAAAAACTTTTTTTCTTCATTGTGTCGTCATTTTTCTTTTAAAAGTTTTTTTGGAAAAACTTTTTCTTCTAAAGGGGTTTTCCTTGAGGGGCTTTTTTTGTCGTTTTCTTTTGTTGTTTGGGTTATTTTGAAAGTTTTGTTGTTTTTGCAAGGTCGGGTTGAAAAGTGTTTTCTTTAATTTGAAAAAATCTAAAACATAGGAAAAAAAAAAATTTTTCCTCTTTCCTTTGTCATTTTTTGGTTTGGGCTTTGAAATTTTGCGTTGGTGTCCCGTTTCCCAAGGGGGGGCTGTGCTTTCCTCTTTTGGGGTTTGTTGTTTTCCGTTTGGTGCTTCAATAAAATTTTCCTTGAGTTTCCTTTTTCAAAACTTTTGGGTTGATTTTTTCTTTTCCCATTTGGTTTGAAAATTCAAGTTGTTTGTTTTCTTTTCCTTTAGGGGTTTTTTTGTTTTGGGGTCAATTCAAAAAACCACGGCCCTTTGTTTTTAAAGTTTTCTGAGCCCGGTTAAAAAAAAAAAAAAAAAAAAAAAAGGGTTTGGGTGGTTTCTATTGGGTGGAGATTTTTCGACCAACTCCCTGTATAATTTTGGGAGGGTTCAAGGTTGGGTTTTTTTGCCGTGAAAAAAAAAAAAAAAAAGGGGCTTGTTTTTTTTTTGGGCAAGGAATTTTGCTGTTTTCCCTTATGGTCAAAAGTTAAAAAGGTGGTTGGCTTTGCTTTGGGGAGGGGAAAAAAAACAAAAGGGGCTATTTGCTGTTGTTTTTTTTGTTTTTTTTCCTGTTTTAAAAAAAAAAAAACAAAAAGGGCTTTTCTTTTGTTCTGGGCGGGAAAAAGCTTTGGCGGGTTTGGGGGTAAAAAGGGCCTTTGCCCCTCCGGCCAACCCACCAAAAAAATTTTGGCCATTTTTAAAAAAAGCAAAGGGGGTTTCCAAAAAAAAGTTTCTTGTTTCTTT